AAGGGGGAATGGCTTTAAGCTGAAAGAGGGTAAGTTTATATCAGACATTAGGAAGAAGTTATTCACTACGAGGGTGGTGAGACACTGGCACAGATTGCCCAGAGAAGTTGTGACTGCCCCATCCCTGGCAGTGTTCAAGGCCCGGTTGGACAGAGCAGCCTTGTCCAGTGGAAGGTGTCCCTGCCCATGGCAGGGGGATTGGAACTGGATGAGTTTTAAGGTCCCTTCCAACAGCATCCATGCTGTGATCCTATGGGGATTGCAAAGTCCCGCTCCACACAGGCAGGCAGCTGCAGTGCCCTGCTCCCGGCCAGAGGCAGCCGGCGGCAGCCACCGCGGCGGGGACAGCGGCAGCAACCCCCTCCCGCAGCCAGCCCCGGCCCCGCGGCCCCGCACTCACAGCCCCACCACCAGGCTGGCGTCCCGCAGCACGGCCAGGCTGCCCGCGTCCTGCCGCCGCAGGTACTCCTCGCCCCGGGCGCACACCAGCACCAGCTGCTGCGCGTTGTCCAGCAGGAGCCGGTGCCGGCCCGCCATGGCCCTCGGCGGTGAGGACAATGACGAGCGGTGCAAAGGGGGCCGCTCCTCGGCTCAAAGTCCCCCGGGGCGGTGCTGGGGAGGCCGCCTGCGGCCCCGCGGGCCTGGCCCTGACCCCCTGACTCTGCCCGTGCCCGGGTTGGCCTTTGCTTACCAACCTCCCCCTAGAGGGTGAAGGCACGGAGGTGGGCAGCAGGGCAGGAGGGGCCGCATGATTCTACCCGGACAGGGCAGGGGTGAGGTGGATGGCGGTGACCGTTCACACCCCGGCCACATCCGCCACTTGGCAGAATTTGGGCAAAAAAAGCTGCAGGGTCAATGTGGCAGCTGCCTGCCCCAGGTGAGGGATGCTGTTCTTGACGTGGTGCAGGGCAACGTGACAATACCTGTACACGGTGCTGGTTTATGTTAGGCTTCAAAGCACCAGTTTTGCCATCCGGGGATTCCCAAAGCCCTCTGTCCACACTGCACAACCTGGAGATTTCACTTTGCCAAGAAAATAAGAGCTTGTGAACTGGGAGCATTTGTCTGCCCACATCTCCCTTCCCTGGCACCCATCACCTCCCTAGTGTCCATCACCTTGTTAGCATCCATCATCTCTCCAGTGTCCCAGCACCAGCCTGAGGGACGAAAACCTCTCTCACCGAACCAGATATCCAGGCAGATATTTATCCAATTCCACGACTGAAAGGTGCAAGTCTGCTGCCCCCTACAGAATTAGGAATGGGAGAATCAGGGAGCAAGTATTTATTCTCAGCATGGATTTTTGTTTTCTTCTCTCTTCAAACATTCATAGCACTTACAGGGCTTCAGCAATTCCCAGAGAGTCTTTCCAAATGAGTGGTCCCTCAAACACCTTTCTGGTGGTGGCAATCTTCTTTAGACACCTTTTCACCCGTACTCAAATGAGTAATGCAAACAAGCTCAAAACAACACGTTTTGTATTTCTCATATCCTGCTGTAAGTCTTTCTGGGCTCTTTTTGACTACATAACTTCTTACTATAGTTAGTAAGTATTTTTGCAGGGTATCAGCTTTTGCTGCTGGAATGTCCTGCTACTTGGTCTGATTTCTTTTATCTTATATACAATTTGAGCAACTTAAACACATGAAAGCATCTTAATTTCAGTTACTGTGTATACCTTATATTTTAACAGAATCATGAGCCCTTTTATTTATTTTATTTTTCTTTAATACATATATAAGTGAACATTTGCAGTTCTGTTTTTTGGACTTGCTCCACGAGAAAGGAAAATCTGTTGAATTCATGGGACTTACTCCATACCAACTAAGGACCAGCCCCTATTACATTGATATATTCAGAGTACCTTACTTTCACCTGCATGGCAATTCTTTTCATACCACCTAAAACCAAAATCTGAATTAAGCACATGTAAGGCTTTGTGCAGCTTTACCTGCATGGGTTCTCCCACTCGAATGGAATGCTTTGTGGTGCGAAGATAAACACATGCACCCATCTTTGCAGTGCATGGCCATCAGAACTAAGATTAGCTATGAAGTTATATGCCAAGGTATGATTTAGTCACTGTGTTTGATGCCTGGTCCTATGCAAGATTTCTGAGTTTGAAGTCTAATGAATATACTCATCAAAACAAAACAACCTGTAGACACTTCATATCTCAAAAGGATCTGAAGCTACATGAAAGCATGCTTTCATTGAGAATGAAAACCCAAGGCTCTATAAAGCAGGTGCTCTCAGTCTTTGAAAGAGGGAGAAAAACCTATGTTTTCTTAGTTCTCACTAAGATCATACTTTTCTATTATTCATCTTATTATCCATCTTAGTGTAGCTTTCTTTTCGCTTTTCTTCTAGGCACCGTTTTCACCTAGACACAGCATACATCAGGTATGTCAGGTATTCTTTACCCTCATGAGAGGAACTAAGCATGCTGTCAGTACAGCACAACTCAGAAGACATCTTTTTACAGACAGAGGCCTCTGTTTTATTGAGGAAGCAGTCACATTCAGCTGCAGACACAGGCGTGGTTCAGCATACACCAGGGCTTCCCAAACCATTATTCCAAAAAGCTGAAGGATTAAAACACATGGTGTGTTCTCATAGCGATGGCACCATCTGCTGATGCAGTGCTAGGGTCATACTTAACAGCTCCCACCAGCCTCACTTCTACCTCACTTGAGGGAGCAGCTTTCAGGTTAGCACCAGGCTGCTCCAGAGAAGGAATCGATGGGATGAGAAGGCAACTGTCACAGTCTTCTCCTCTTCCAATATCAAACCCACTGTGATTATCAGTGACAACACGGAGAGGGCACTGATCTGCATCATGCAGATGCTAAACCGGCCATGCTGTATCACAGACCAGATGCTTTTTTGCCTCCTTCCTGCCACTGGAAGCACTTTAACTAGAACACATACTCTAGCTGTTTTGAGGATTCCTAAGCTGCCAGTATCAATTTCAACTTCAGCAACTCTTCTCTTTCCCAAAGGGATTGCCTTACAATTGCCAGGAGAGCTGGGAAGCCTTCAAGCTGCCAAAAAGGAACTGGTTTAAATAATGAAAGGCTTCATAAGTACTTCAAATGTAATTTTTTACTTTTTACGACAACTTACAGATGTAAATATTAAAGGAACACATGCAGAGCGACAGGGATGACTTCCAGTGTGAGAAAGAAACAGGGCAGTATTTCTCTGCAGAATTTATCCCAAAAAGCTGGGGGTTTCCCCACAGTTCACACAACCAGTGTTATATCCTGATGGAGCCCACAGCCTCCAGCACTCTTCACTCCAGCCATCCCACAAGGGATGAATGATCCCAGCTGAAGGACCAGATCTGCACTCTGTGTGCGCCAACCCAGTTACCACCTGTGCAGCTTTTACATGGAACTTTTTCACTTACTTCAAAACTCTCTGAGGGGGACAAGTTACAATTTCTATTTTTCAGTGGAAACTAAGGTACAGGTACAGCAGCAGCTTTCCCAGCAATTCAAGCCCCACTGATGACCATCATCTGGCTGCAAGTTCCCTAGCAGCAAGGTTACTTCTGCAGCTGGGTCACTGCCTGATTTTTGCACAGCTCTTACTTTCCCCATGTGTCAAAGAGGGCTAGTACTTCCATATTTGACAGCAGTTAAGTGATGAGTGAAGGGTCAGAGTAACAATAGCTGTAACTGAGACTCATGAACTGCACCTCCAGCAGTCTGGGTTCCAGTTTGCAGGACCACTTCTATGAGCTGCATCACAGAGACCTTCAAAGAGGGTCTCTGACTGGCAGCATTGCAAAGCACTCACCTGCTTTCACCAAGAAGTACTGACAGGTAAAGGATGGGTTCTGTTAACCTCAGTGTTTACTCTTAACATTGGAAAACGTGGTTATTGTGTACCTGCCAAAACACTCCAGATACTGGGTATCAGAGGGGCTTTCTCTTCTCTGCAGACTGTGTACACTCCCATTCTGCAGTGTGTCATCTTAACTCTGCCAAGGCCACTAAATTCCTCAGAAATTGGTAACTGCCAAGAGGCCTTTTGTTTGCATGGATATTGGCTAGTATCGGTACAAATTTGTCCTTCCTTGATTACGATTGTACAGCCACGCTTTAAGCTTCGCGACTCAAAGCGGCAGAGTATTTCTTAGAGACACTGTAGTATAACAGATCTTCACAGCTCACCTGCAGTGAAGCCTTCACAGCTATTTCCAAATAGTTTATAGACAGGTTGAAATATTAAGTATATTTGAATAGTAACTGCATACATACTGTAAGAAGTCTTGACTGCTGTATTTTCCCTGTGTTTCAGATGGGAAGATAACTGTGTTTTGTTTGCAGCCTTCAGCTGTTAAAGCAGAAAACACAACTAAGAACAAGGTTCCTGCAAACACTGAATGAGTTACAGTTTTTCACTTGGAGTCAAAATCTTGTTTCTACTAAAATAAGGACACAAAGCAGTATAGCTGCATCCTCTCAATGAAACAATTCAGAGCTGACAGAAAAATCATCAGCAGTCTGCAGCAGGCACATCAGGATGTTTTTTAAAAGTTTTTCTGTTGCTCATTCCACAGCATGTGTTATCATTATTAGAAACAGCTATTCCTGCAGGTCCTTGTCCGCTCAGCAGTGCGGCTAGAACAGAAAATCAACATACATATGATGAAACCTTCTTCACCTTCCATGTGTTAGTCTGCCTGACAGCAGCATGCTGACAGCCACACTGAACTGAGCTGACACATGCATCACACATCTGTTTACCTTCACAGCACACAACTTTGCAGATTTAATTCAGTCCATCAATCACTAAAATTCAGGTGTTTCCCTTCACAGTAATGGCATTTGTTGACACTGATAATACTTAAAAGTTGTTTTGGGAGGGTCTTTTGGGTTTGGTTGGTTGTTTTTTTAAATACTCATTTTCCACTCTAATATTTTCAGCTTAAATTTAAATAATTGTCTGTTCCTTCCACGTAAGTTTTTCAGACACCTATAAAAGATTAAAGGCCTTTTTAAGGTTTAATTTCCCCCATATTAAAACAGGAAAAAAAGAAAAAGTGAACACTTTGTTACAAAAGTATGGAAAACAAAAAAGTTTATTTCCAGATATACAAAACACCTATTCTCTCATTTCTCCATCTTCTTCCTCTTCTTCCACACCTCTGATGTACAAAACATTATTGCACCTGTAAACAAAACCAAGAGTTTCCTTAGTTGTGTTATAGCCCTCCCCACATATAAAGCCTTAAGCATTTCCTGCTCTAGTGTAGCCTGACCACAGCCAAACCCTGCATGACAAATTGCTGCTGTTGACCATGTACATGTTTTCCACAATGTTCCTTACAACTGCACACACCTGCCTTCCCACCCCCCAAGTTTATAAAAGCAATAACTGGTTGACAATGCTGTACAAGAAATTTTTACTTTTGGCTTAACGGATAGAGTCAAGTTTAACTTTTCAGCATACAAAATGTTTTCAGTAACAATGTGTTAGCATATAATCACAGAATGGTTTGGGTTGGAAAGGACCTTAATCATCATCTCGTTCCAGCCCTCTGCCACATGCAGGGACACCTTCCACTAGACCACATTGCTCAAAGCCCTGTCCAGCCTGGCCTTGAACACTACTGGGGGGGGGGGGCATCTACAGCTTCTCTGGGCAACCTGTTCCAGTGCCTCACCACCCTCATATTATACAGTTTTTCCTAAACCTACTGCCATCTAGCTTAAAGCCATTCCCCCTTGTCCTATCACTACACACCCTTTTAAAGTGTTTCTCTCCAGCTTTAATGCCAAAGGATTGACAGATACAAAATAATCCAGAAAACTAAAGTTCTGTTACCCAAAACAGGATCATAAATGCTTCCTTAGAAATATTAAAAATTCATTCTTCCTGCCCTCAGAAGGGATATCAACATCACTGTTGCATTCACAGCCTTCACATGGAGCTACATTAGTGTCTTAGCCAGACAAGAAACACAGCATTACCAATACAAGTTTTAATACAAGTGGTATAATTTAATACAAGTGCTAAGATTCAGACAGCCTACCCCCACCACCAACACTCTCATTACCTTATCAAGACTTCACCCAGGTGTCCCGACAGCGCACCGTCTATATACTCCTCTGTGTTTGCAAGCTTGAGAAGGAAACCAGCAATAAAATCAGAATAATTACAACGAAAGGAGCTTTGCAAAGCACACGGCGGTTTTGCCCCGCTGCCCGCTCCAGCGGCAGGGAAGCCGAATGGCCCCGCCCTCACCGTCGAGGCGCCGCCGACCCTTCAGAAGCGCCCCACGTCGCCGGCCCCTCAGGACCGGGGCCTAGAGCCAGCGCGACAGCTCCAATCCCACATCCCTCACCTGCATGTTCATGTAGCCGTCGACGGAGACGAGGTACCCCTTGTACTCCATCCCCCACTTCAGCTTCACCATCACCGGCTTCCCCGTCAGCCCGTTCAGGAACGGCTTCGGGTTGAGGGGCAGGCTCTGTCGGGAGAGCAGCCAGTCAGCGCGGCCGCCCCGCTCCCCCCCCCCCCCGCCCCGCTAACGGCCGCGGCTCCCTCTGCCTGCGCGCCCCACGCCCCAGCCTTCCCGCGCTCACTGACGACACCGCCCTCACCATGGCGACGCGGCGCGGGACAGCGGCCCGACACACACAGGCCCACACGGGGAGGCCTCGTGCGCGCCGTGGAGCTGCAGCAGAAAGGACCGCCGCGCCGACCCGGCTTTTACTTCCGGGGGCGCCACTCTCACCTCCGACCCCTCGCCCCCGCCGCCACGCACTTCTCAATAGGTTGAAACTCCCCCACGCGCGAAGCTAAAAGCGGAGCTCCCATTGGCTTGGCGGCGCCGTAAGACTCGCTCATTGGCAGGCCCGGCTGTCCTTCCACCCGTCCTAACCAACCGCTCTGCGGGGCGGGGCTAGCGCGCGGCCACCGCGCCGGGGCGGAAGAGGTGGGTGGTGCTGCTGCTTGCCGAAGTACCTCAGGCTCCTGAGGCTTATCCTTCCTTCCTTCCCTCCCTCCCGACCCCCTTCTTGTGCCCTCCTCGCTGTCCCGCAGGTCCCAAAGGGCGAGCTTTGCCCCCTCGGACACCCAGCTGCCTTGTCTCCTCTTGGAAGCGGGGCGGGCAGAGCAGCGGCTGCCCTGCCGGCCGGGATGGGGGCACCACTGTGTCTGTGTCCCTCCCGGTAGAGTATCGCTTACTTTCTAGCTCTGGGTTATTTCCCGGCTCCGAGGGCCGTGCTCAGCTCGGAAGCGGTGGGGCTCTGCATTTCCTTCTTCCTCATCCCTCTCGGTGGGTGTCCACGAGGTGGCAGCGCCTGACCCGCGCGGTGGCTGCAGCACGTAGCGGGAGCTGCGGACCAGCCTTGTGCCACCAGCCAGCCTTGAGGGCCATGAACGCGTGGCGGCGGCGGTTCGCGTGGAAGAATAAATGTGTGGACCGGTCTGTGTTCTGTACTCTACACGCATGGATAGAAAACCTCACGGCTTGTAAAGCGCTTAAGTGATGGCCTTGCCAGTGTGCAAGTGCTCTACTCAGTCTCATTTGATTCCCGGGCATAGAAGTTGCCAGAGTTTTTAACAGAATCACAGAATAGTTTGGGTTGGAAGGGACCTTGAAGCTCATCCAGTTCCAACCCCTTTGCCATGGGCAGGGACACCTTCCACTAGACCAGGTTGGTGAAAACCCCATCCAACCTGGCCTTGAACACTGCCAGGGATGGGGCAGCCACAGCTTCTCTGGACAACCTGTTCCAGTGTCTCACCACCCTCTTACTGAAGAACTTCCTAATATCTAAACTAAATTTACCCTCTTTTATACTCTTTTCCTATCACTGCGTGCTCTCTCCAGGAAAAGTCCCTCTCCAGGAACTCATGAAACACCAGTCCTTTTCTAGCTTTAATTTGTGACAACCTTTGACAAGCAAATGGGTTGAACCAACATTTGTACCATTTACTAACTTGTCATGTCTACACTAATGTCTTCTACTACTCCCTGTCTGAAGTCATCAAATGCCACAATGTTTATTTATATTCGCTTCATTTTTCATATATTGGATGCTGAATGTGGAAAATATACCCTCAGGAGCTAACCTTTCTGTAACAGAACTATTACATTTTTTGCGCACTTTACCTTCCAAAGGTCAGCCTAGTGCCCTGGTGTTGAAAGCAAAACCATCATCACCTGCTAAATAGGAGTGTTTATTGGTGTCGACTCAACATCTTGCCCAGATCCAGCTGTCCTCACACACAGTGGTTGCAATGCCTTTATGGTTGGATAGACGCAAACAAGAGTTGGAATTGTAATTCTTTTTTAACTAGCATGTATGAGAAGTGCACTCAGATATCGTTTCTGTGATCATTAGAAATCCACATGGTTTTCTTTTTTGGGTGCATTGGATAAGTGACAGAGACAACATCAAAATTATGCTAATAGCCTTTCTGGGAGCGAAGCTCAGCATGGGCCAGCTGAAAGAAATATAAGTTACAAGATTTCTGTATGGAAGTCTGTGGAGACTATATAGGAAAGCATGAACACGATGGAAAAAGGTGTATATATAACAAAAAGATTTCATGCCACTTGCAGTAAAGAATAGCTGATTTCAAGAGATAACATGTATAATATGACAGAACACAATGAGCTTAGAGTGTCATGGATAAAATCATACTGTGGTAGTAATTTTTGCACTTCCCTGACAACTGACAAGGATGGATATGTGTATCTGTGAAGAGCAATATAACGGGTTTGGAGTTGTGTCTGTAAACAGCACTTCTTACATTTAAATATTGAAACAGTTTTGATCACAATGTCTCCTAATGTTGGTGAAACTTACTGTGTATGCAGAAATACAGGAGCCAATCACATTCTGCATTTAATACACTTTGTCCCTCTGACAGATGAATAAATATTCCAGCCCTGTTGTTATAAAGTTACCAAAATCCAGAATAATTTTCCAGGGTCATAGATATCAGCACAGAAGTCAGAGAGCAGGAGCGCTTGACTTCTAGTTTCATAATTGGTGCACAAATTCATGCGTCAGTAACATCATCAGCTGTAGACCGGGTCTGCAGCAATTTTGTGTGGCGGTAGGGCAGGAAGGAGTACTGAAAGAACAGAATGCGTGACTACATCTGATGTAGTTAACTGGATAACTTGGTTAATCACGAAACAAAATAGCTTTGGCCTTTTTTTCCCATGTGAGGAATTTGCTGTTTACCTTGTTGACTGAATCATTCTGACTCAGAGACTGTTTTACTTGGGTCTTCTCCTGACCTTCAGCACAGGGGTGAAGTTCACCTTTTGTCCTCTTTGCATTTCCCTGTGTAATAGGGGAAATAATCGTTTGCATTCTTTTCTGGCTTTGGGTCAGGGTATTTAGGCTGCTGCTGAACAGGAAATGAACAGGAAAGAGTTTTTGTCATAGATTAATACCAACCTTAGATCTTGCATGGATGGATAGGCTTTCTCTTGCAGCTCAGTGGTGGGAATTTAGCACAACTGCCTGTGTTCCTAAGGAAACACATTAAGCGGCTGGACATCCGACGGCAGCAGCGTTTCTGGTGGAGGGACTCATTAGATGGCGTTATCTGTGTTAAGTGCAAATGCTCACTGACATCATTAACATGCCGTGTCACCATAATGCCAGGCAGAGAGGGCTAGCCTCTGTACCCTCACATCAGTGAGAGAAATCTGAGCTGCCCAGGAATACTGCTTGTTTGTGCTGAGTTTGCTGAGACAGGAACTCCCTGCAATAATCCCCTTCTGCGTGCCATTTCTTAAGGAAACTGTCAGATCTGACCCATGTTCCAGCTTCTGGGCTGCACTTCTAGTGACCATCCTGTGCCTTTTCCTAGTGATATGCCAGTGTAAATTGGGTTTTGCTTTGCTACAGTATTTTCCCACTTAAAGCACGTTACCTGAAGGCACAGACCTGAGTTATGAGTGGGGAGAACTGAGTTAACAAAAAGGAGGCTCCACTAGGAGACAGTACCCTAAAGGACAGGTTTGCATCAAACTAAATCCAGTGTAGCAGTGTTGAGTTACTCCTGCTATGGGGTGGATGAACCTCAGCTTCTGGTTCTGTTGGGTTCATAATTGACAAAGCGGTGTAAGAACCTGCTTGCTGCTCTCCCCCTAGGAACCTGTCCCAGGTGGAGGTGTACCAGTGTACCACCCTCCTTGCTTTCCCTTTGACAGACTCCTAGACCATAGCATCTGGTTCTTGAAAATACTAGGTGATATGATGCCTCAGTCTAAGCTAGACAGCTGATAAGTAGCCTTGTGCAGATCAGGAACTGATTTCTGAGAAGCCCTCTATTCTGCTTGGGAATGCAGTGGTTATGACTGTCATGGACCCAGAAGGATTTTGAGGCTGTGTGCACCCTTGTAGAGTTTTGCTGCTGTAGCAATACTGCTAAAATGTGAAGAAGATCTAGGACTGATGCTGAATCTTGCTATGGAATAAATTTATTTTTCCTTTAGCACCAGGCTTAATGGAAGATTTGCCATTATAAGTCATACTGTAATTGAAAATTTGCTCTTGCCCAATTTTCTGTAGAAAGTATTTGATGATTTTGTTTAAAACCCTTTTTCAGTAAGAAATACGACTTTTTGTATGTACAGAAAAAGAGACAAGAGACTTGCCATTAGCCCTGCATCTCCAGTGGTGGCTGGTGTACTGATGTGAGGAAACACAAGCAAGATGCCGAAGTCTGTTTGGGTTGGACTTGCCCAGCAAGCAGAAACTGTGCTGCAAAGGGCTTCCAGGGCAGGAGGCAGAGGTGAGCCTGTGAAAATTTAAACAGTGTTTCTTCTTGGGTAGAGGATTTATGTGCAGTTTCAGGTCAACACAGTGCCTTTTACCTGCAGTGACGTCAGTATGACATGAGACCTGGGGGGACAGCAGGTATATGCTAACAAAAGCCCGGATCTCAATGGAGTCATAACAGTTTTTTGTGCCCCCTCTCCCCCTAAGGTTTGCCAAGTGGCTGTGCTGTGAACCTGTCATCAGGCTGGGCTGTGCCAGGGAGAAGGGGCATGGGATGGGTATTGTACAGATATGACGGGAACATTAAAGCCTCCTTTTATGCAGATTGAAAACCTTTATTTGTGCAAATAGAATTCATGTAAATTATGCAGCTACATTAAAGAGAGGCCCTTTGAGAATGTGCCTCTGAAAACACAAGCTCCTTTGCCAAGAAATAATGGGACATCCTTAATTATCAGCTGTTGTCTTCTGGGTTTGGCAAACTTCTGTTGTTTTATGTGCTGTTGCTTCTTTTATGCTTTGACATTAATGAATTAGAATTGAAATTATGCTCTGAGGAAAACAATGTGATCTGTATAAATAATAAAATGGCATTCTTGTGCGTGTCAGAAAGGACTGGGGGGATCAAGCATTCTGCAGAAGGAACCTGGAAACTGTGCTTTTGCACAAGCATCTTAATGGAAACTAATAGCTGGCTCCAAATCACAGAAGTGGTTCAAGAGTTGATGCTTTGAGAAATCTGGGCAGAGCTTGGAAAGTGTGGAGGTTCTCTGTGTTATGTGCAAGCTATATTTTAAGAGGAGATCATCTGCTGCTCCTCTCTTCCTTTTACCTTCAGCCATGGCTGAAAC